AGGAGGGAGGGGAGAGGAGGGCAGGAGGGAGGAGAGAGGAGGGCAGGAGGGAGGAGCGATGGGAGAGCAGGGAAGGTGGGAGGGGAGAGGAGGGGAGAGGAGGGCAGGAGGGAGGAGGGATGGGAGAGCAGGGAAGGAGGGAGGGGAGAGGAGGGGAGAACAGGGCAGGAGGGAGGGGCGAGGAGGGGAGAGGAGGGCAGGAGGGAGGAGGGATGGGAGAGCAGGGAAGGAGGGAGGGGAGAGGAGGGGAGAACAGGGCAGAAGGGAGGGGAGAACAGGGCAGGAGGGAGGGGCGGGGAGGGCAGGAGGGGGAGGGAGAAAGGGAGAGGAGGGCAGGATGGAGGGGAGAGGGGGGAGGGGAGAGGGAGAGGAGGGCCTGGCCAGGTGGCGCCAGTGTTCTATCCTGGAGCACAGTCCTGAGCCCCCAGAGGAAGGCAGGGACTGCGGCCTTGGTCCCAGCTCAGCCGGGGCAGGAGCAGGCAGGGGCCACAGCTCTTGGGAGGGGACTAGGGAGGCTTCGCTGGCATGAGCCAGTTCCCTAAGGGGGGCTCCAGAGAGCAGGAATGGGGCATGGGGGCCCCTGGCGCCCTGGGGCGGCCCAGGCTGCGTCTGTCATGGGGCCTCTGGGCGAGCACCTGCCCCCTGGAGCACTGTCTGTCTAGGACACGGGCAGGGCTGCGGTGACCTTTGGTGGGTCCCTGCTTACCTACCGGGGATACTCCCGTCCCCTGGGGCAGACAAAGGCCACAGGATAGCTACTTGGGACCTGCAGAGACTGGGCTGCAGGAAGCCGCAGTGTGCTAGTCTCTGCCCTTTCCATGCGAGATGAGCCCCCAGGTCTGCTGGCCTGACAGCCCACTCGGCCACACTTATAGACAGTTGTGGGACCAGAGACTCAGAGATGGGGTTCCCCAATGTCAGCCGCTGTGCTAGCTTCCCTGGGGAGGAGCAAAGAGCACACCTGGACTCTGAGCTCTCTTTCCTGGGGGGCGGGGGAGGGTCCTGGTAGCTACTGACTGCTATGTGGTCGTTCATGTCACAGCTCTGTAGCTGGGGACAACCTCCCCACACACACACAGATCTTGGGGTTCCCTCCCTGCTCTTTCACTTCCTGAGAAGGAACCCTCCTGGTTAGACCTCCAGCTCAGGGTGGCACAATGCATAGGGCCCATGGGTTTCCCTGAGCTTCCAGCCTCCAGGGGAAGCTGAGGCACTCAAAGAAAACCCAAATGGAGCTCCTGGCAGGGAGCAACGGCCTTCAGGGAGATCTCTGCCTGTCCCCCCTGTGTCCTGCCCTGGCCACCTACCCAGATTCCCAGGGGAGCCCTTGTCTGGAGCCATGCGGTGGGAACACCAGGGGGAGGCCGGAAGCCCTCACCTATGCACCGCAGGGAGACCACCATCCGCGAGGAGCAGCTGTCGCTGGAAAGGAAGAGCGAGGAGGCTGGTCACCGGTCGGCGAAGAGACAAAGAGGCGCCTGGGAGGGGGGAAGGTGAGGCGGACAGTGCCAGAGACCGCACCCCGAGCCCCAGCACCAGGTTCAAATCCCAGCTCTGTGGTCTTGAGCAAGTTACATAACCTTATCTCTTCCTGCTTCCCCTTTGGGTAAATATGCTCATGATGCAGTTGACCAGCCCAAATCTGACCTTCCCGAGCACTGCAACCGTGAAGCCACAGGCGGAGCAGCATGTCTGACCCCAGCCGGAAGGTGGCGATGCACATGCTTGTTTGTCTGAACTCCTCTGACGTTACCTGCCGGCTTTGTGCACAAGGCGACCCAACACACAGGCGAGCCTCGTGCTGGACTTGCTCCAGCGGCCGCTGTCTCACTGTGCGTGTTCAAAGAACACCCGAAACTGGCACCACGCCCCAGTCCCAAGCATCTCAGACCCCACGCGGCTCCGCCATGGCCCCGCTCACGGGCATCGTCTTCGTTCCATCTCATAAGTTAAAACCACCCTCTCAGCTGGGCAGGGTGGGACACAAGCACCCCGGAGGCTTGAAGCAGGAGGATCAAAAGTTGGAGGACCGCCTCAGCCACACAGAAAGGAGGTCCCCCTCAGCTGCACAGAAAAACTACATCTCGAATCACGACCCCTCCCCACACACACAGAGGCAAATTATCCGCAAATACAAGGGAATGGTTTGGAAAGTTCTGCTTTTGGTGTGTAGTCTCGGAGGCAAGAAGACACAGCATAACGTATTTTGCCTGGGAAGAAAAAGTTGAGTCATTCGCTTGGGCCTGGAACTCCCCAGGTTATGAGTGAAACAGCAGTAAAGGGTGTGCTGTGATCTGTAGCGGAGCCCTCAACACAGAGACCCGAGGCCCAGAATCCATGGACCACCAGCCGTGAGCTCTGCCGCACTAGACCAGGACAGGAATGGAGGCAGAGCACACGAGCCCCCGAGGGCCACCACCACCTCTAAACAACTCAACAGGCCTCACCTACCTACCAAACAACATGGCCATCTGCAAAATAATCTGCTGAGTCTTCACCAATCACAGCTTCAGCTGGCTCCATTCTTAGAACAACAAAAACCCAAGGCAGCCAATCACAAAATCCCCTCACCTGAGTGTCCAATGGAAGCAAAGCCCTGCCCTTAGGACCCTCCCACATCACCCACACAAACCTGGGTCCTACGAGAAGACCTAGGACTTCCTGAAGCCTCTCCCTGGGGTGCCCAGCCCCCAGCCTGGCATCGAAGTAACTACAGGGTGCTGGAGGGGGATGGGTCATTCAAAAGCACTTTCCTGTGGAGGAGCACAATGCCTAAGAGTCCTGAGACTCTCAGGGCCCAGCCCCCCACATCCTCATCAGCTGGGAAGCGCAGCCCCGCCGGGGGCTGTGCCTGGCAGGAAAGGGCCACTCAGACTCCCACCCACCCCCACGCCGCGCAGACAGCCGTGACATTCTAGACAATGACCTTCTCTTCTTCCCTGAAAGCTACCTGCCACCTTGGGAGTTGTTCCTGAGGCTCTGGCCAAGGCTAGCAGCCTGCTCTGCCCGCCCCCCCCCAGCCTGGCTCCCGTCCTGACTCCCCGATTTTGTCTGGGCTGTCCCTGTGAAGGACAAAGAGCCACTCAGCTGACATAAAGGGCCCATGACTGAGGTTCACCTGCTGGCTGGCTGGCACACCTGGGCAGCCCTGGGCATCCATCGGCCGCACCCCCCCAGTCCCAAGTGCGGAAGTCAAAGCCCCAGATACCTCAACCAGAGACACCAGGCCTGCGAACACACTCCCTCCCCACTGGGAGAGGGGGGCCCTGTATCAGAGCTCGGCTCCTGGGACCCGGAAGGAGGAAGGCTTGTGTGAGAAGAGGAAGAGATGCACAGCTTTCAGATCAAAATCACTGGAGAAGAATAACCACCCTGCACGCCTTTAAACAGGTGTAAACAAGAGGGGCAGTCCCCGCCCCCCCATCAGTCATGTGGCCCGTGACTTGAATTCATGCCCAGCCACTGGACACACTGTGCCCTTCCTGGTCACAAATCAGCTTCCAGGCTCAGGGATGTCTGACTAGCTGATCTAGCCATTCATGCCCAAGGCGGGATGCAGCCTAGGGTCCTTGCCAGAGCCTGGACTGGGCTGTGATGTTTGGATCCTCTATCTCCCCAAAACACGAGCCAAAGAAAACCTCTTTTCCCTATAAAGTAGTCTGCCTCCAACATTTCATTACATTAACAGACAGCCTGGCCCAAGAGGGCTCTTCTAGTGTCTGGAGAATGAAAAAGCATAAAGCCAAGCCTCCGTTTTACAAGGTTACAAATTACCAAAGGTCACAGATGAAATGATCGATAAACCTCGGCCTCTTCCTGAGGACGCCAGGCCTGGCTAGATGCTCATCTCCACCAGCACCAAACACACCCCAAGCCAGCACATGGGTTCTGGAGCTCAGCAAAGGACAGAGGCCTGGGGGCAGGATCTCCTGGTTCTTTGCATTATGGAATTCTGCCCCAGGGACAGAAGATCAGCAGGGTACCTGTGGTAGAGTCTCTTGTAGAGGTCGATGTTGCCCGCACTTATGTTCAGCTTCATGAAGCTCGTGGCGCCGCTGTCATCCTGTACCCCTTGGCTAGAATAAAAACTGCTCCTAAAAGACAGGAGATCAGGATTCAGAGCATGGTTCACATGCAAGCACTCACGAACCCTACGCCAAGTCATCAAAACCCCTCTCCGGTGATGTCCAGAATAAGAAGGATCATGTGAGCATTCTGGAAGACAAACTACAAATTCTCACCAAGCATCCTTGTCTTATAACCTTTGCTATAATCCAGTAATCTTGAGGGGTGAAGTAAAAGTCCTCTATCCATCCTGCTTCTGATCCAGCGTGGTTAACACGAAGATAAGAAACAGGCTGCATGAGCACACTTCATTGAACCATACGTGCGGCTGTGAAAATGTCCCTATCGGGCTGGCATGGGGCACTTGCTGTAAGATTTTAGGGGTAGAACTCCTCAGCAGACCCCTGGCGAGAGTGTGAGACCCTCCTTGAAAACTTATCAAAAGCAACAAGGACTGGGAGTGTGGTTTGAGAGCCGGGCTGTCTGCTTAGCAGGGTGCGAGGCCCCGTACCCCCCAGACTACACACACGACGCCCCCAGGCTCCCAGGCTGCACGGGACGCTGCTGGGTGGTGGAATTGGGCCATCAAAGGCTGGCATTTTGAAGCTTCTCACTAGCTAGGATGCCAACTTTCTCATCCAATAGTAATTCACCTTGAAAACTGCCACCCCCCGAGCACCCTAAAACCACAGAGACCCACACGGAGACACCCCAAAGGAGACAGGCAATCTATCCCACAGCCCCCTCCCCCAGGCACAGGGCGCAGCCAGGGCCCTCCCCTCCTCCCCTCCTCCACAGGGCGATAGCATCCATGTCCCCAATCGAGAGCAATAAGAGGTGGGAGGGAGACCTTTAGGAAGCGGCTGGGTCCGGCACTCTATCCTCTGTGGATTAATGCCATTCTCTAAGGGGTGGGTTCTCTTAAAAGCAGGTTGTGACAAAGCAGATCCAGCTTCCTTTGTCCCTCCTGCTCATTTGCTTTCCTGCTTCTCTGCCCTGAGCTGAAGCTACACAAGGCCTTTGTCAGATCCCAGCACCATGCACCTAATCTTGCCAGCCTCCCGAGCCAAAACAAACCCGAGTTCTTTACACGTGTTCCGGTCTCAGGGGTTCGCTACAGCTACAGAACACCGACCAGAGCTCAGGGGAGCGCTGCACGGACTGGCCACAGATAACTTCCCCTGGCCACGGTGTGCAGGAGGGAATGTCTGCTTTTTGTGTGTTGGGTTGGTTTCTGGTGGTGCTGGGGTTTGAACTCAGGGCCTCTCACTTGGGGAGTAAGTAGACTATCGCTGGAGCCACACTGCTTCCAGTCCTATTGCTTTTAGTTGATTTTTTCAGACAGGGTCTCACCCTTTTGCCCAGAGCCACGCAGCGGGGGTGACAGTGTGAACTGGCACGCCTGGCCCTACGAATTTCTTTTTTTTTTTT